TACTATTATTGCATGGTTTTTAACTAAAAAGTTGAATGAAAAAGCTCTTACATGGGTCTTGATGACATACGTTCAATGCATATATAAGAACTTTATGATTAATTTGAGTTTATTTTAATTTATAGCATAATAGGTGAGGTTAGTAATAAAAAATTTGGAAGAAATTATTATTAATCATGACAATAATCTAGTTTAAAGCTATCATGGAATTAAATAATAATTTTATTTTTCAATTTTTGATGATCATTGCGGCTTTTCTGTTGTAAAGTACCTTTGAGAATAATAAAATTTTTAATTCTCAAAATAATAAATTCTATATAAAGTATCCGTAAACTAAAACAAAGTCAAAATAAATATTGATATCATTAAGTAATAAAAAATTGAAATGTAAGATACAGGATTTTTATTTAGCTAAATAAAATTAAGAAAATAAACTTGATAAAATTTATATGGATCAAAAAGGTTATTGAGAATCATGGAAATGTATTGACTATGTGGGATAGAAAAAACTTAAAACTAATTAAGCTAGATTTAATGGGGAATTGGCAGCAAGTAGATTTTTTATGATTCAAATATATTGAACATGAATTAATTGCAATACCAAAAATCATTACATTTTAATTTAGATGATAACTCTAAATATCTAATCAAAGCCAAAAATGGATGGATTTGATACTATTCATAAACATCAGTTTATGAAACAAAAGGATAATAAAAAATAAAAATAAAAATTTTGGGTCAGGGGAGACCCGATCCTAATGTGACAAGATACGCACTTGAAAGATGGCCGAACCTAGGGATAAGTGACTCCTTTAACAGAATTGGCTGGTACTAGCTGGAGGTGGAGATATTGGGTGAAAAATGAGCCTAAGTAGCCCTCTATCCATGGGTATCGACTGCCTAACTGATATCAACCACTAAGCCAATTACACCGTTCGTCAAAGGAAGGGCTAAGAGTAAGGAAAGGTGAGCTAAGCATGGAACGAATCTTCGGACTATGCTATCTTAAATATCTTATCGGGGCGACATTGCGGAAAAGAATATCTGAAGATACTTAAACCGAACTTTGAGTGGGCCAGGCTAGTATAAAGACAGAAACTCAAGAGCCATTTTGAGACCAACCTTACATTCAGAAGAACTAAGGGAAATAAGTTAAAATTTAACCGGCAGGACTTTAGAGCAAAATAAGAGTCCAAATCATAATATCTCCTCTTAAAGATGCCTAATGATCCTAGGTCTGTTTATTAGAGTGAACAAATGGGTATAAATTCTATACTGGAACAATAGAGAATCAATTATGAAGATTAATTATCTATATTATAATAAAGGATAATATGAAAAGCCAATAACCTTTAGGTCGAGGCTTAGTGTTGGACACTTTGTATAGCAAACTCATAAGATAAATTGGCCAAGAGAATTTTGATGATGAGGATAAGGTGAATATGATGAATTAGGTTAATTTTATTTTGTCTCTTATAACTTGTAGAACATAAAGAAAGAAGTAGAAAATAGTTGCTTAATTATGAAACTGCAAAGATGAACTAGAAAAAGATCAAAGAATCCAAGTCTATGGGAACAATAAGTCATCATCTCAATCCATCTTAAGATAATCTCCAAAGTCTAAATATGCTGTTCTTGAATCTGGATTTCTGGAAAGTGAGTGGACTTATTTGAAAATCGCAAGAGGACATATATAGTACAAGGAGGAATAGATAAATAAATTTGTTTATAAAACATTAAACTTTAATGTATCCACATTTTCCTCATTTAAAATTATCCCTTCCCACCATTTACCTTAAAAATACAGGGAATGATATAATTAAATAAAATCAGCTAAACTTATGCAATAGTCTGAATATCACTTAGACTTGCAAATGCATGCCATAGATTTAAATCAAGATGCTGAAATATGCAAAACTTGTCATTTATAAGAAATCCTTTTAATAGGAGTTTGAAAAACCTCAAGTAAGTTTCCCATATAGTTCTGAATGGAAGAAGGACTAATCCAATTTAAATTAGCTGCATGGATCTTCCATAATATTTGTTTTTTTAAGAAAAAAGTATATTTCTATTCACTACATATGCTTATCTACTAGTTCTACATCAAGTTAATCTTTCGTTTAGAGGCCGCATTACAGATAAATAGTGTAGATAGACTATTTAACAAGCGGAAAAACTGTTATAATACCTGAAGAGATAAATTAGAAAAATTTTAATTCTTTAAATAAATAATATTAAGTAAGATGCAGAAGTAGATTTCAGATGCATTCAACTTCTCAACTGAAGAATAAATTAGATTTTGTATAGTCATATATCTTTAAATCGAGAGAATTTTGTTTTTTGGATAATTTATAAGGCAAGGTATAAGAGGAGAAATGAACCAGAGTTAGCTTGTTGTATTTGGATGCTAGTTTAAGTCAGTAACTGGGGATGTAATATTTGTAAGGAGAAGAAGAAACAACTAAATAATTCTCATAAATCTATCAAATGAATATATTCAACCTTTTTAATAGATGATAGATTTATTATATTTTAAACTACAATATTTCTAGATTATTGTCTATCTTATCACTAAACTTGAGACAATATAATCTGTAGTTTATATATACCGATTGTGAGATTTGAAAGAAGAACAAGATTATTAAAATCTGTCTTACTATCTATACAGTCAAACTTTAGTAAATAGAATTTTTAATAAAAGTCCATTTAAAAAATAAAGTAGAGAAATAAGCCCTTGATAATTCAAAATAATAATATCTTTTCTTATTTATATTCAATGAGAGAATTCTTTATTATTAATGAATCTTAATGTTAAAATTAAAATTATGTGAATGCAGAATTATATTGTAAATTAAAAAATAAAATAAAATCTTTTTTAAATGAGCATCTAATGATACATCTTTATATTAAGAGATTCATGAGCATTAGAAATAGAATATTAGATAAAGAAAGCATTTTAATTGCAGACTTTCAAATATGGGAAAAATTAAAAGCATCAAATTCCAATGATCATACTTAAAATAATATTCATACATTTGTAATCATGATATTCGACAAAAGAGAAATGTATATAAAAAAAGGAGTTTGAGAACTTAACTTTCAAGAAGAGAAGAGTTTAGCTCCTTATAAGTGATAATTTGTAAGAAATACTGTAGTAATAAAAAGAGAATAACCTAATGGACGAAGGATGATTAGGTTCAGGAAAACTATATATCAGGAGGAATGAAGCAGCTTGTGAGAATAAACATAAAAAGCTTAAGAGCTTACTTTAAAGCCTATTAAGGAGAGAGCTTGATATAACATAATTTCAATTAAATCTTATAATATTTGGATAATCGTAAGAACTAATACTTCTCCATGGAGTATTAGTGAAGAAACTGTAGTTACATCTAAATTTTTTAGTTTCATCAGAGATTTCTTCTACTTCTTTTCTTCTTAATTGTATATATTAGTCATAGATCTTTCAATTTAAAATTTTGTCATTCTTTTTTTCTTTCTCTCCATATTTTTTTAGAAATGTTTACAAATATATCTGCTTCACAATAAAATAATTCTAAAAAATAATCTGAAAACCTTTTTTCTGAACTAAAATTAATTTGATTCTTGATTTTCAAAAATCAAAGATAATACCATAATTTTTTCTACTTTTCTAATCCATTTTTCAATATCTCCTTTCCAGCACTGTTATTAATTAATTTTTTGAAGTTTAGAATTAAAATAATTTGTTTATATTTTTAATAATAATTTTAATAGAATTAGAAAATGTCAATTCGTTGTACTTAAGCTGATCATCAAAATCAGTAAATAATAGGGATTTGTATTGAAAGCAACTGCCAATATCAAAGGCCTTATTGTCATTACTGTTTGCCAAATCATAGTTTACACCTTAACTAGTTAATACCTTTGGAAAACTTAAATGAATGGATTTAACGACGGATGGCAATTATTAACGAAGTATAAAAAAATGCTTAAGAGTGCAAATCAATCCTTGATAGTCTTATTAATATATTTATTCCTTACCTCAACATAAATGTAGAATAATTAGGAATCTCTTAAATTGACAATATAATTAAAGGTTTTTGTAAAATAGAAGTTTGTGAATAATAATTATTTAACCAACTCAAATAATCTCTCCAATAAGTTCAATAAATTATAGATGAAATATTAAAAAAAACAAAGAGTTAAACAAATTATAAATAGAAAGTTGATATATAAGTTCAATAAACTTAAAATATGAAACCATTGATTTAAGAATAAACCAACCAGATAAGCATTTTTAAACAAAATTTGAAGCCATTTATCTTTGACCTCATTGAATAAAATACAATTAAATAAGATTAATTGTGTAGAGCAATAGCTATTAATAAAGATTGTTCAATATTAGTTGCTGGATGTGACAATTAAATTAAAGTATTTGAATTTAAGTAAGGAATGTTGAAATAACTTTAACTTTTAGGTGAACATAAAGATTGTGTGAATACTTTAAATTTCATGAACAGATCGAATCATTTTCTATCTGGTAGTGAGGATAATTTGATTATAATATGGGCAAGAAATCAAAATAATTCATGGATTTGTTAATAGAAATTGAATGGACATACAAATTCTATCTTTTGTTTAGTATTAAATAATAATGATGATATTATTATATCTGGAAGTAGAGATGATAAAATTAAATTCTGGATTAAATAGAATGAATGGTAGTGTTCATAGACAATTACTGATCATACTAATAGTGTATATGGACTCAGTTTAAATGAATAATAAAATAGAGTGATATCTTGTGGAGAAGATAAACTTATATTAGTAATCGAACAATCTTAATAGAATAAAAAATGGATTCTAATATAAAAGATTTAGGTGGAAATAGAAGGAGTTCGATTATGTTTTATTGATAATAATATATTCACATTCTAACCTTGGCAATAAGTGTATATGATTGTTTATGAAATGAATAATACTAATAAATTGTATATTAAGACAAAGAATATTCAATTAAAAGATGGTAGTGATTATACATTCTTTCCTTAATAATATATAAAATAAAAATGTATCCTTGTGAATAAGAATGGTTCAAATGTAAATTTAATAAGGAAAAAATAAAATGGTGAATTTATAATTGAGTAATCAATTCTATTTGAAACTTAATATATTTATGGATGTATGACTGATGATGGATAGTATTTAATTACTTGGGATTCTAAATCTGAAGAATTTAAAATCAGAAAATATATTGAAACATGAATTACAATCAATTATTAATAAAATTTTATAAGAATTATTCAATTATAAGTTAATATTATTTAATAAAGTTTTAGTTTTGATTAAGTTTTTAGAATTATTTTAGTTAAAATTAAGGAGAGAGGGTTAATAAAAACTACTTTGATGAAACTATAAATAGAAATTTCAAAGAAGAAATGTAAGAAAATGAAGAAAAAGAGATTAAAAACAACACGGTGAATCTATTAATTGAAATTTTAAAGAAGAAAATTCAAAAAATGAAGAAATGAAATTTATCCTGAATATGCAAAGATATTTTAATAATCGGATTAAAATATGCGTATTGGTTTTAGCGATATAAATAATCAATTATAATAAATAAAGTACTGATAATCAAAAAAAGTATGATTGGAATAATACTTATCTTGAAAAAATTAAAGAGGGAATGGAAAGAGTGTTAGGACATGACAAAATCACTCATCAACTTCAAACACTGATAGGCAACTTTTAAATAAATTTAGGCAGAAGTTCTAAAGATTTTTTAAAAATTCAAACTTGGAGAATTGTGAAATTTTTAAAATAGTTGTAGGAGAAGAATAACTTGTTTTTATTTTTCAAATCAAATTTAGAAGTTTATTACTATCAAATTTAAATACACAAATAAATATAGCCAAAAAAGCGATGAGGCTTATTAATGATTACTTACAATGTATCATTCTTCTTATGTTTTTTGTTTTAATAATAACAAATGCCTGATCGGATGTGAGAATTCAATAATGAAAAAGGAGATGATTGTATTAATTTTAATAATATGGATACTTTCTATGAGTAAATTTATTTACGAATGCTAATTGGAATAAAAAATATTTTTGGAAATTGGATAATATGATATTATATACTCTCACATAATATTTAGAGCTTAATTTGCTGAATACTACTAAAGGCGTTAGAAGATATAATTATATAGACATTTGCATCAGAATAGATATTTAATATAATGAAACAGGTAAAGTATGATATGGACCTTAGAATCTATTAAACAAAGTTTAAAATTTAAAATGTTATTTATATTTATGCAACTAATGGAATAATAGTTTTTTAATAAAAATATACCTAATTAATTTCAGCTGCTTTAAATTTATTTTTGAAATAGTATTAAGATCATTTCATCGAATAATTTATTTGATTTGGAACATGCTCATTTATTTTTTGGATTATAGTTCAGTTTGAATTATAACCCAATGATAATCTGCATTAAACAAAAAATAAAAAAATAGGTGATATTCAAATCCCCAAAAATATACTATTTCTAAAAAACTTTAATGATTCAAAATTTATCTTATTACTTCTTTAAAATAAATAAAAGATAGATGTTTATTAACATTTA